GTCAACCAGCTGTAATGGATACAGATAATCTGGGAAGGTCAATCCCAAGAGGTTTGACCAAGGACAAGCTGGTAGAAAGGATCCTCATTATTCCAGTCGACCCAGCTGTAAATGGGTACAGATAATCTGGGAAAGATCAATGCCAAGAGGTTTGACCAAGGAAAAGCTGGTAGAAAGGATCTTCGTTATTGACCATATAAAATATAGTTGTTTCTTTCTTAATTTTAATTTTCATGATATATTTTTCCAGAGATCCGACACCCAGAGATCAACCAATCATTCAATTCCGTAACGCCTCTTGGATCAGCTATAATTTACAGAATCACAGCTACCTGAGCATCACCAACAAATCTGAAAATCCCATAAATTTTAGACAGAAGGAGTATGCTTTCTGGATGGAGTACTTCCCTAAATTATCTGGACGAGATCCAAGTAAGTCGTGGTTAAAGGGACTAGGGCGCCAATTTTTGACCAATCATATTTAAGCTTCAGAAATGGAATTTTTTAGCTAAGCTAATCAGTAATAGTGTTCACAGCTCACTGTCGAAATTTGAGTCTTCAAATCCATGTGTGTCTAGAATTATCTGTGTTTGAATGTTAAAATGACGACTCGTCTTTTCTTGAGACACTGTCATATATAGAAAAGACATCTATAGAAATAGTGAGTAAAATTCCTAGTTTGAGATATTTTTAAGGGAATTATGTGATTTTCGTACATTTCTAGTACTTCTGAAGACTATTTACGTATATTCAAAACTCAAATCAACCCATCTGTCGCTGTGCCACACAACTACACAAAAATAGTTCATCCAGCCCATAATCTGCTCCCCTTGAATTCAGTTGATGTTGATTATAATTTTGTTTCTTTACAGTTTATGGAGTGACAGTGGCGCCAATAATTCAAGAAACTTCAGAATTTGAAATGGCAACGTGGTCCTTAACAGCAGGAGTGGCGCTGCTATCTATCGTGGTGCTGTCATGTTGTGTTCTCATGTGTAAACGATCACGGACGAAAAACTACTGACCTTAATTTGAGCGCTGGAATTTCAGGCACCAGATTTTGAGTTTCAGGAACTTATGGAAATATAAGGCACAAGTAGTCTTGAAACATGTTCAAGGAGTAGAATTTGATTAAATTCATGGACTATGGATTGACGACACATTTTGAGAATGCAAAATTCTTATTTTGAGAATCCAAATTCTTATTTTGAGAATCCAAATTCTTATTTTGAGAATCCAAATTCTTATTTTGAGAATCCAAATTCTTATTTTGAGAATCCAAATTCTTATTTTGGGATCCAAATTCTTATTTTGAGAATCCAAATTCTTATTTTGAGAATCCAAACGGGGACAATTTGGTACCTGAAATCAAACAGTGTTCTTGTGAAGCCTTGAACTTCCAGCCATCAAGTAAAACCAGTGGTTATTTTACATACCGGTATCTAGGACTGGATGTCATTTCATTATTCCAAAGACAGTTAAAATGAATTCCAGTGCTATCACCTGACATCACTCTACAGCAATCTATTTGGAGTTCATGTTTTCATTCTATTTAAGGGATTGTAAAGATGTTTTCTGCTAATAATATCCGAGGGCCTTTATCACAAAGACACAAGCATATTTTGCAATTAGTGATGTCATCAAACGCTTAGTTTAAGTGGAATTACAGGAACCACAGACGTCTGATTGAAAATTAGAATGGTGTAAATTGATGCTATCAGTGTCCCTGATACATATAAAAAATTTAGAAAAACTCTTTGCAATCCCTTTAAGCTTGTGAATATGAGGAATCATTTTAATTTTTGTATATTTTTAATTTTAATTGTAAATAATCATTCATTCATTCAATCATTCTTCATTCATTCTTCACATAATTTTAATATTTTTTCATTCATTCATTCATTCATTCATTTATAAAAAGCCTTAACAATGTATGTTTTCCCTAATTTTTGCACTAGCTGATGTCAATATGCAAATCAGGCACGGAACCTTATTCTGAAAAAATTAACTTAAAGATGGGTTCCCTTATTTTTATTTATGAAAATGAAAATGCTAATACTTATATGAATAGAAAATAGAGGTGTTCTAATGACTTGAAAAAATACCAGTTTGTCTCACATGTCTATAATTAATTCATAATTAGCTAAATTAGAAGAGAATTACCAGCAGAATTCCAATGGGTGACCAATCAAGAAAGGTTACAAAGTCTTTTTTTGTTTATCCAGACTGTACATACTTGGACATTTATGATTGGTTAAAACTCTTAATTATATGCAATAAGAACATAATGATATGATTAAGAATACATGATAATTCATTAGAAACATCAATTAATCAAATAATTTGCTTAATTTGACACTAAAATTTGAGGTAACCTATCTGTAAGATGAATTTCGTGTTCCAGTCATCTGATTGGTCAAATTTGATATTAAATTTTGTTTTATTATCCAATCAGATTACTGTATTTAATAATTACTTTTTTTCACCAATGGACAAATTTTCAAAACTTTTGCACAAGTTCCCAAGTTTTCACAATGTTTTGTAAAAAATTTAGATCTTTGTACAGTTATTTTGCTCAAAATGTATTATATATATAAATGAGACCTTTTATTAAACCAAGTTTTCTAACAATTACTTGTTGCTTCTTAACAGTGTTTAAAGAGACAAGTCTGGCCATCCATTGGACCAATCATACTTTAGTCTCAGAAACAGGAATTTTTTAGCTAAGCTAATCAGTAATAGTTTTCACAGCTCACTGTCGAAATTTGAGCCTTCAAATCCAAGTGTGTTCAGAATTATCCGTGTTTGAAAGTTAAAATGACGAGTCGTCTTTTCTTGAGACACTGTGATATATAGAAAAGACATCTATAGAAATAGTGAGTAAAATTCCTAGTTTGAGATATTTTTAAAGGAATTATGTGATTTTCATACATTTCTAGTACTTCTGAAGACCATTTACATATATTCAACACTCAAATCAACCCCACAGTATGCAGCAATGAATATTTGTAGACCAATCGCTTTGTATTTCTGAATTATTTGTTTATCTTGTAAATCTCTCCAGCCGGAAGTAGGTAATTTCCTATCAAATTGATGTATTCCAATGCTAAAATCCACAGTCCCTACTTGTGACCTTGGCCAGTGCTTCTATAACAGAGTATCTCTTATAAAACATTTTACCGAGGCATTGACAGAATTATAATAATTAAAAAGTTTATCAAAATAACACATAATTTAATACAAATGTTCTGTTATATATGTAATGTGTTAAATGCAAGAGTAAAATGATACATGGCAAGTGAAAAATGATGTATGTCAAATGACACATGGCAATGTAAAATGACACATCAAGTGAAAAATGACACATGGTAAGTGAAAAATGACACATGGTAAGTGAAAAATGATGTATGTGAAATGACACATGGCAATGTAAAATGACACATCAACAGTAAAATGACACAT